TGGTGTTTTGCCAGAATCTACCCTAACTCAATTTAAATAGGGAACTGTAAGTGATTTACTAGAAGAAAAGCCTCTGTTTGTCCCTTTCGCTCATCCACCCACCCTGGGTCCTGGACACTGAATGTCAAGCAAATGTCAAAAGACTATCTACCCAAGCTATGTTTAAATGGCATCCTGAAAGTTAGATACTTATCTATAGTTGTTTCCATTTCTCACAAATTTCTTTAGCAAGCCAAAGAGTGCTTTCTTGTAAGATTTCCAATTTTTGTGCTGCTTGTGAAAGTCAGAAGAGATTTTTCCAGAGAAAATTCAGCCTTCTCATGTCTTGATTTTATAACAAACTGGAAGAGAAACAGCTTATCACATGGAATGGCAAAAGAAACAAAAAAGTCGCTGTTGGGTGCGGTCGTGTCGATTTTAAACTCATAGTGACCCCATGTGACAGAGCAGAATTTCCCCATAGGGTTTTCTAGGCTGTAATCTTTGAGAGAGTAGGTTGCCAGGTCTTTCTCCTGTGGAGCTCCTGGGTTGGTTTAAACCTCCAACCTCTCAGTTAGTAGCTGCGCACTTAACCATTGGTACACCAGGCCTCCTTAAAAAAAAAAAAAAAAAAAAATAGACCAGAAGAGATGGGTATTTTATCAGAATTAGGATAAATATTTCTAAATTTAGAACTTCAAATGTATTTCTGGATCTCAGGAGCAAATTCTCGGTCATATTTCAAAGAGAGGAAAAGACCATTTGTCGGTCTTTGATAAATCTTAACAAGAAAAACATGCTTGTCTACAGCCTAGTAATCAAGATCTTTCTTTATACCCTAATCATCAGCCCACAATCCCTTCATTATCTCTACCTTCTACTACAGGCCTTTCCATTCTAGTCAAGGTGACTTGCATTTGTTTTCCCATGCATAACTTAACCATGTCCAGCTCCATGCATGTGCACATAAATTCGCCCCACATCACAACAATTCATGGAAGTCAATTCTGTAAGATCCAGCTCAAAACTTTCCTGCTTAGGGAAATTGTCTTCTTTAAGGCTGTTTTTGTCTTTTTCTTTCTCCCAATTCGTGTTCCTGTGTCTTTACTCACTTGATGTCACACGTATTATCCCAGGTGTGCATCTATTTAATAAGCATGAGCTGACAGTGGAGAGATTGCCTTCCTAATATCCCTACTTGCAACGAGCACAAACCCAGATCTACCAATGGGGATGACATCATCTGAAGACAGGAAAGAGGAACTAGTGGGACCAATTTGTGCATCTTCTGATTTTAGATTGGAAAGTCACTTCTTGAGAAAGAAAACAAAACAAAAGAAATTGTTGAACGGTCATAAACATTAACTTTTCTACTGGACCATACTGCAAATGTCAGGGAAAAAGACATACGTCTTTCTATCCTCCAATTACCTTCATTTTATACTTCTAAAAAATTCTTTTGTCTCCAAACAAATTCAGAAACATGATTACTTTTTTTTTTCATGGCATGTTTCTTGCTTACATAAAAATTCATATAGTTACATTAAATAATTTCTCTTATTATTTTAGATGGTCGATAAAAGTTGAAAGTTATTAAATTTGCTCATTAAAATTGTTTTCCAACGTGAAAATTGGATGTACTGTTTTTAAAATAATGTTTTTTATACTTTATATTGTGCTGAAAAACCCACTGCCGTCGAGTTGATTCCAACTCATAGAGACCCTATAGGACAGAGTAGAGCTGCCCTATAGAGTTTCCAAGGAGCAGCTGGATTCGAACTGCCGACCTTTTAGTTTGTAGCCAAGCTCTTAACTACTATGTCACCAGGGTCCCTTATATTGTACATTACAGTTATAATAATTGCTACTGCATTTTTGTTTTGTCCTAAATCTCTTAATTTGATTCGCCATTCAAATAAAAATCTTATACTCATGAGAAAAATTTCATGCTTGAGGTATGCATTTAAGAAAAGTTAGCTGATATTTTACACACCGAAGTATTGTTGTATTTTAAGAGATTCATGACAGATGGGAAGAATTCATACTCCAGATTTTCTGATTTACCATTCTTCGCTACACCAAGCATATCTGAAAGCCCTACACCAAGATTCTTTGAATTCTATGTCCCAGTTCCTATTCTTCCTTCTCACATCAACGTGCTTTCTGATAAAGTCTAGATGGGTGTGAATCTGAGGTGGTGTCATCACTAGGTGAAATACAAACACTGGAATCCTATTATGCTATCCAGGAGTCGATAGTAATCTAGACACACATTTCTTTCTATATCTCCCTGCCTTCACTGATATTTACCAGGATACACAGACACGTCATTTTGCTCTCTGGATTGCGTTTGGAGTTTTAACACAAATCTAAACACCTGCGCCAACTAAAACACTGATTAATCTAGCTCTTCTTTAACAAAGAGAGTGGCTGGAAAGATGAGCTAAAGCAAGGGAGTGGCAGATTATCAACCAAAAACGCAAATCTTTTCCAGTTCAGTGGAAAATGGAGCTTGGGAGAGAGGCACAAGCACAGCTGTGATTAACTGAGTAGGCCAGTGAATGTCAGCAGTGCCCTCCACAATAATAATAATAAAATCAATCATCTCCATCATGAACAACACATGGAACAGCAGTATTTCAAGCACTTTCTTTCTCTCCTCTCTCTCCCTCTTTCTCTTTTTCTCTGTCCTTCCCTCCCTGTTATACTGTTTTATTGTGCTTTTTTTTTTTTTTAAGCTAAGGAGATGCTTCATTTTTATGGACATTTTCTATATGATTTCATATCACTGTAAAGCCATTTTAAAATGTACCTCTGACAATAGTCACTTCAAAATACTGAATCCATAGCAGAATTGCAACCTAAGAATACAATCGTAAAATACAATGTGGATCTTCTATTACTAGGGAGAGGATCAGGTCACTCAGCTTACATGGGTGAAACCATATTTGGAGAATTGTGTTCTCTTTAAAGGTATTTGAACAAATACCAACACGTGTGGAATAGAGCCACAAATATGGTTGAAAAAATGCCATGTTGTAGTTGAAAGACTTGGATATATCTAACTATAGATATTCCCAAGATTGAGGTAATGACATTAGCAGTAAGATGTGATAGTCAAGTAGGTGAGTAATTACAATGACTGTTCAAGACCCTTTTCTTTAATTTTCTCTTAATATCCAAAGTGGAGTAAATTGTCTACTTTTGTTCCTATAGCACTGTATTGATAACCACTTCTTGTTAGGCAAGAAGTTCTACTTTTGCACAAGACTAAAATTTCCTTGACATTTAGTAAAATGAAGTGTACACAATGTACTGAGTTTGGAAACACTATTGTTGTTGTTAGGTGCAGTCGAGTTGGTTCTGACTCATAGTGGCCGTATGTACAACAGAAAGAAACACTGCCTGGTCCTGTGCTATCCTCACAATCGTTGTTATGTTTGAGCCCATTGTTGCAGCCACTGTGTCAATCCTCTTTTTCGCTGACCCTCTACTTTACCGAGCATGATGTCCTTCTCTATGGACTGGTCTCTCCTGATGTCCAAAGTCTGTGAGATGAAGTCTTGCCATCCTCCCTTCTAAGGAGCATTTTGGCTATACTTCTTCCAAGACAGATTTTTTCACTGTTCTGGCAGTCCATGGTGTACATTCAATGTTCTTTTCCAACACCATAATTCAAAAGCATCAGCTCTTCTTCTGTCTTCCTTATCCATTGACCAGCTTTTGCATGCACATGAGGCAATTGAAAATACCATGGCTTCGGTCAGGTGTACCTTAGTCCCCAAAGTGACACTAAACATCTCTATTTCTTATATTATTTTTATATCCTTTGCTATTAAACCTGAGATCCTGACTTTTTATGTCTATGTTTTTCAGCTGAAAATTACCTCAAGAACAGAAAAGAAAGTTCAAAGTGGTTACATGACTCTCAAAATTACTCTTCGGAATTGGAACTAAATAGTACATTTTCCAAATATTTTTACCATGTTTTCCCCTTGAATTAGTCACTAATTGTGGTACCAGTTGCTGTCAAGTCAATTCCAATTCATAGCAACCCTATAAAACAGCACAGAACTGCCCCATGGGGTTTCCAAGGCTGTAATCTTACGGAAGCAGACTGCCACATCTGTCTCCCAAGGAGCGGTTGGTGAGTTGGAACCTCTGACCTTTCAGTTCACAGCCAAGCACTTAACCACTGTGCCACCAGGGCTCCTTACTAATTATGGTGTTGATATTTTTATGCAATTTAGGAATTGGGTGAATACAAATTTTGAATTTGTTCTAATGGGGTATTGTAAAAAGATGCAGAGAAAGAATACAATTGTAGAGTTGATGGCCAATTAAAAAATCACAATTCTTCTGATCTTTGGCTCATCATGGATCATTGGGCCATTTTCAGTATTGCTATGATTTTAAATATTTCAGTAAAAACTCACTATATATACTAGCTAATACTTAGAGATGATGAAGTAAATCTCAGCATATGAAAGAGAATTACCTATGTGTCTGTGCATGTTTATATATATGTATAATACATATACTTCTAGAGGATGACAAAAATTTGAGCAATCTCAAGTTCCTGGCAACTGCCTTAATGCACA